CTGCAGTTCGTATAGGAGATTTGTGGGCGTCACAAACATGCGAACTGTGGTGTATAATGCTGGCAGGCCGTTATAAAAATCAACCTCTTTCCCACATGTCGCGAATTTCACTAGATCATCTTGTCTTGCTATGACATGAACACACGCATGCTAACAAAATACACAACCTAGAGTAAGGGTAAAGCCAGCTTTTCCAGGGAGATTTTGTCAATGGTGTGCACATTTCCTTCAGACGTAACACAGGAAAGCTCAGTGTATGGATATACGAAACACAAGCATCTTTTTACTTTTTTCGAGTAGAGAAACAATATCAATAATTATAAGCTTTCTGCATTTCAGCGAATTACAAAAGTGATTGGAATTATTCTTGGAACTGATCGTCACTTAAATCATAAACTCATCACCGAGTTAAACCCTAAATGACTATACTTTTTATGTCATCCTAAAGCTATTCCTGGATCTGTTGGAAGCATTTTAACCTTGCGGGTTCAAAGCAACAGCACAGTTGCCATGGAGACGGCCGTTTGTATCGCAAATGAAATTACTTCACCTTGGCATTTCACGATTAACTTCGAAGGAGTCATGCCAAGATTATGAAACCAGCGTTACAAGGAGGGGATTACGCCGAAATCATTCCGGCCAACCGGAAGAAAGTAGCAACTTCACTTCATGAAACTGGATACTGATCATTGGCTATTCAAACTAAGACCCTTTCGATCAATAATGATCATTTCAAGGCTATGGAGTGAAGGTGGACAACGATTGACCGGGACTGCACGCGCCTGGGGGACCAACCGCCGAGCGTCCACTCGGGCTAGGGACCCCTCTGCGGGGTATGCGTTGTGCACCCGGTTGGGTTTTTTCCCCAGTTTGCCTCTCGGCCCTAGGTCTCGGCCCACACACGGCTGGCGCATGAAGCCTGCCCCGGACAAACGGGGCGTCGCGAAGATGCAAGATAATGCAATAAAGAGGATAAGATGTTGAGACAAATGAACGGAATCTAACAAGAAGTGACGGTCGGATTTAAGAAAACGCTTCACATTTGAAAAACATGGGATATTGAAGCAAGCATGAGATACGATGGAATAAGCTCACTTATATTTACTGGTATGCTTTTAACTTGAAAACACTGCTCTACACACGACACTTTCTCTGTTTAGGAAATTGCCCCTCGATGCGTCATTGTTTGACCACGTCATCGTACCTTGCACATTAACTGGGAGTCAGTTGACGGCCATTACATGTGAAAATGGTTGTCACGAACTCCACACATGAACTACCCAATCATTATGTACTTCGTGGCTTTGATCCCCGCATGTATTAGGGAATGACAATATTCGAATGTCGCTATTATGACGGCACGAATACCAAGGTTAACTCGAAATACTCTCCACGAAAAAGTCTCCCCGACTTTGTGGGCATGTAGCTCAGAAACTAGAGCGGCTTAGGTCTTAAAAGGGGCAAGGGTATGGACTGTACGGAATGGTCTTCAAGATGGCTGTTTCAGTTCAAAACCCCACAGAAATGTAGAACATTCCCTATGAAACGGTTCGATTCTGACCCCAATCACTATTTGTGACACCTAAAACAAGAAATTATATATTTTTCCTCGCTGTTAACAAATAAGGCCTCTAATCCTTAAACTCATAGTACAGCGGCAAACGATTGCATGAATTCAAATACGCACCTAAAAGTCACGACAAAACACTGATAAAACACCTTTAAGTCACGGCAGTATCTCAAACTCACGACATCGCGAGGAAGGGGAAAACACGAGCACAGAACGCTATTTAGCTCAGCGAACATTTCCATTCCGTGTTCTTATCTCTCAGGAGATTGAGCAGCTTGAAGTGTGTGCTCTTTTACAAACGTTCCATGACGCAATCAAGCATGATGTATTGAGCAGCATATTTACTAAATATTTACTAAGAGAGAAATTGCATTGTCTACAGTGGCCATTTATACTTAAAAGCATGCTTATAGTAGTAAATGGGCTGACTTCATCAGGCATGGTGTTCGCTTTAATATCTTCACATTTGGGAGCTCTCTTTAGCTCAATCGATCACAAGTGTTACTTCCGTAATAACGGGTAACCATGTCCAACTTCTCACATTAGGTGGCAAAAGACGTAAATAGTGTTTGGGTCTTGCAGAACTTACAAAACCTTACTTGGGGAGCCAATTTGCGTCTGTTATGTCTGGAAAACATGCTCCCAAACGTCAGATGTGAGCGCCTCGACGACTTTATGCTTCTTGGCCTTGAACGTGTCATAACCAATGGGGGGGGGGGGGGGGGGTGGTAGGAATTAAATGAGGTTTTTGAGCCGTCCGTGCATGTCTCAATGCCTTGAGATAGTCCCCACGAAAGTCTGCACATCTTCGCAGGAATGTTGGCTCAACAACTAGAGTGTGATGGGTCTAAATAACGACAGGGCTGTGAACCACACCGAATGATTTCAAGGTGATATTTCAGTTCAAAATCCAAGCAAATATGGAGCACTACCTTTTTTGCTTTGATTGCGATTGCTGTTTAAGACAAACATATGGAACTTCCTGAATGAGCCGGCATAATCATTGTCGCAGTTCGATCACTTCGGGTGCTCAGTGACCGTCTCACGAGGCTGGGGCCCTGAGGAAGCGCACCTTGTGCTTCAAAGGTCTCTTTGATTCCTGTCAGTCACGTTGCCAAAGTTTTCGCAACGAAGAAGCGCACTGGGTATAGAATATACTGCCTGACCGGTATGGAATGTTATTCAGCTTTGACTTTCGACGGCACTGACGGAACGCGTGAGAACTGTGGCTTCTGTGTCGACTAGTTTTCCGTTGCTCCTTCTCCTCATTCGCCTCGTAGCAGTCACGCTATTGCCCTCTTCCGGCACTCGTCGTAGATCCCAACGCGTCGGTGACTCTTTTCGGCAGGTTTTTGGTAGGATGGGGTTTTTATAGTGACAGCGGGTGCTGACAGTTATCCTCGGTCTCTCGCACTGCAAGTAGTTCTTGGTCGGTAGTAGTTTCTCATGTCTTGCTGTTCCCGTAACGGACCTCAATTGAACCACTGAGACATTTGTGAACCTTCTTCGGAAACATGTCCACGCTGGAAGGTCTTCATAATTGAGTGGCAGTGACCTCCTATCGGAGTCAACTTTGACTCGCTTCACGGTCAAGCGATCAGGTACTGGCCAACACGCTGGGGCTGAATCTGTTCAGAACAATCCAAGTCTCAGAACATGTTCGGGGGTTATTTTAAGCCACAGCGCGGTCTCCGGCGTTGGCAGAGCTGTCCAGCCTGAAGGAGTCGCAGTTGGTGTGTTTGAGCTTGAAACCAGTAAATGGTTTTGAGAAGCTAGGCTCCGGAGCTCACCACCCACCTCGGAGCCCAAATGTGGCACGTTCCTCTCGTCATCTCCTTCAACCACAGAATGGGATAGTTAGTGTCGCCGATAGTGGTACGACCCGCCGCGGCCAGTCCGCTGCCGCCCGTGCCGTTCGCTGGCTGCCTCTGCCGGCCGGCCGTCAGCCGACGCTGCCGGCCGGCCGTCAGCCGCCGCTGCGACCGCGGCGCGCATGCGTCGAGCAAGGAGTTTGCGGCGACAATTCGAGGTTCTGGTGTTTTCGGTGCTGAGAATACACATGTTCTGCGGTAAGAACAAGTGGCGACGAGAATGGGATCGCCAGAGCTGCTTAGTGGCCTAGTGGTTGCCGCCGGCCAGTTTTTTTTTCGTCTCGCTGTGTAGTAAGTCAACTTCGCCGGCCTCGCCGCCATATTGCCCGCCGCCCGCTCGCTGTGCGCCGCGTCGCAACATGTCGCTGCCGGTGCCCGCTCCGTATCAGCCTGGGGAGGACTTTGAGCGTTGGCTCTAGGGCTGTGAATACTACATGACTGCCAGCAATGTCACCACGGGCTCGAGGAAGGCTGCTACAGTCCTCACGCTCCTCGGTCTGGACGTGCAGGAGCTGGTGAGCACGCTGCCACATCCGGACGATGTTCCCGCCGGTGCTTCGGAGTACGACGTGCCACGGCCGAAGTTGATCAAGCACTACGCTATACATGTGAACGTGACCTTCGAACGGTGCCAGCTTCAAGGTTTGTCGCGAAACGACGGCGAATCTTTCGAGGGTTTTGTCGCTCGCCTCCGGCTACGCGCTGCGCGGTGTGGCTATGACCGCCAGCAGCGTGTGGACATTATTTTGCAGTGTGCTCTTTCCTGGTGCCGCGATCAAGACTTGCAAATGAAGTTTTTCCGCGCACCGCAGCTAACCCTGGCAGCTGCTGTCCAGCTGGCCGCCGAAGAGGAGCGACCCGCGCGCTGGTGATGCGAGTTGAACGCGCTGGCCGGCCGCCCAGTCAAGCTTGTGGCCAGGCCTTCCCCGGACCCGCACCCCGGTCAGTTGTACGCCGTGTCGGACGTTTGCTGGCGTTGCCACAGTCGCCGACACGCTCCTGGCGTGTGCCCGTCTCGGAGCGCTCGCCGTTTTGCACGCTCGCGGCCGCGGCCATACTCGTGCCGTATGTCCGAGCGGGCCGCGGACGAGACCGCGACTCGCCAGCCGCCGTTGTCACGTCAGCCCGCCTGGGGCTGGGCATCCTGGGGTTCCGGGTGCGTCCATCGCACGCTCCGCCCGGCCGGCGCGGGGCTGGCGGCTAGGGGCTCCGCGCCAACTCCCGGCGTCAGGAGTGGGGTGCGCACAGCCCTCGGCGGCTGGAGGGGAGTCCGGCGCGCGCCCAAGATGCGCAGTGCAGTGCACCAATGCCTGTGTCTGGTGAGGCTCACTGCACCAAAATTGATTTGGCGGAGGCTTATCCTACAATTGGAGCTGTACGAATCGTGCCGCGAGTACCTGACCATCAACACGCACAAGGGCCTGTTTCAACCAACAAGACTCTGTTAGGCGTCAAGAGTGCCGTTTATATTTTCCAGCGGCAAAAAGGAGACGCTTTTATCCGGCGTTCCGCGCACAGCCGTCTACCACGACGGCATATGTGACACAGGCTCGTCACCTTCAGAGCACCTGCGCAACGTCCGTCAAGTGCTGGAACGGCTCGCTCGAGCTGGCCTGAAAGTCAACAAAGACAGTGCGTTGCGGCTGGCGGACCGGGTGGACTACCTTGGCTACAGCGTCTCGGCAGCCGGAGTGCAACCGACGCCCGAGAAAAGCCGAGCAGATCCTCGATGCATCAGACCCGAACCGCTCTGCGCCAGCTCCGGTGGTATCTGGGGTGCTATAATAACTACAGTCGGTTCATGCCGGACCTCGCTACGGTCGCGGCGCCCCTGTAATGCCCTACAGAAGAAGGACTGCCGTCTGGTCCTGGGAGGCGCCGCAGAAGAAGGCGGTTTACCGAGACCAAGCGTCCTTCTCGCCTTCCGCCCCGGTGCTCGCCCACTGCGACTCGACTCGGCCGCTCGTGCTGACGACCGACGCCAGCCCGTACGGTGTGGCGGCCGTACTCAGCCATCCTGAGGGCTGACAAGGACCGGCCGATCGCATATGCAAGCCGCAGTCCTCTGCGACGCCGAGAGAACTAGTCAACTAGACAGGGAGGCATTGGGGGTGATGTTTGGCGTGTCGAAGTTTCACCAGTAGCCTGTACGGCCGCACATTCGTCATCAAGACCGATCATCAACCCCTCCTGGCTCTGCTGGGTGGTGACAGGCGCTGCCACTTGACCGTCCTCGCCCCGTATTCTCCGCTACCGTCTCAGGCTGGCAGGATACCAGTACAAGTTGGTGCACGTGGCAGGGCGCAGCTTGAGTAATGCTGACGGTCTCAGCCGCCTCCCGCTCCCTGAGTGCGCCTCGGGATGTGTCTCCTCCTGCAGATGTCGTCACTCTGATGGACGACCTTGCTGAAGCCGTGGACTTCGATCAGGTCCGGACGGGCACGCGTCGGGATCCGACGCTTTCCGCGGCGTATTGGCACACCAGTGAAGGCTGGTCCACAGCGTCGCCGGACCCTGCGCTCCAGTCTTACTTCCGTCGCCGTACGGAACTCAGCCTGCAGGACGGGTGCCTCCTCTGGGGCTCCCGCGTCGTTATCCCGCCGTCACTCCGACATAACGTTCTTCGTCTTCTGCATGATGGACACCCCGGCATCTCGGGCATGAAGCGCCTCGCTCGATGCTCGGTGTGGTGGCCAGGCATTGACGCCGACATCGAGTCACGCGTGCGGGCCTGCGATCCGTGTCAGGCCACAGGGGGAACGCTCCTGAGAACATGCCGCAGCCGTGGACGTTCCCGGACAAGCGCGGAGTCGCGTTCATATCGACTACGCCGGCCCGGTGGAGGGCAAGTATTTGTTTATCGCTGTCAACGCGTACTCCAAGTGGCCTGAAGTTCACGTGACCAGCTCCACCTCCTCAGCGGGTCACCATCGAGACCCTGCGCCTGATCTTCGGCGCCAGCATGGTCTGGGCCGTCCGTCCTGGTCAGCGACAACGCCGCCGCGTTCACTTGCGCGGAATTCAAGGCCTTCTTGTCAATTAACGGCATTCTCCACCTGCTGAGACCGCCGCGGCACCCCGCTTCGAACGGCCAGGCCGAGGTGACGGTCAAAATGGTGAAGGCAGCACTGAAGCGACGTCACGGAGGCTCCCTGCAAACCCGTCTTGGCTCGCTTCCCTCCTGTCATAATCGCGCCACACCACACTCAACCACCGGACGCCCGCCGGCCGAGTTGCTCAACAACCGCCACTTTCGGACCCGCCTCGATCTGCTTCGCCCAGATCTGTCGGCCACCGTGCAACGCCGTCAAGAGGCCGGGCGTGATCGCCGATAATGCGATCCTCGCCGCGGACTCTCCGGGTAGGTGGACTGGGCTGTAGGTCCTCCCAGATCTCCTCGGGTCCGTCGGACTACGACCTGGGTCCATGCGGAAGTGGAAGCCGTCGAGGGACAGCGGTGTCGCGTCCGTCTCCCTGATGGGCGGTCGTTCGTACGACACCGTGACCACGTCCGCCCGCGTGTGGCGTGCTCAGTGCCTGAGGTTCCCCAACCTCTGCCTCCTACCCCGGCCCCTGCGCCACGCGCGTCAGTTCATGTGGCCGTGCCTGGGGTTTCGGAGCCTGTCCCGCCGCCCCGCTCTGCGCTCGTCCCGTGCGCGGTTCCTTCCCCGCCGCGTCCCGCCCCTGCCTCTCACCGCGGTGTTTCCCCACGCCGCCTCCGGTCTGGTACAGTGATCGTGTACTGTCGGGGTGATCGGTGTTCGTTGTGCCAGGTCCGACCCGCGTTTTTATTTAAGTGTGGGAGTTGGTACGACCCGCCGTGTCGCGGCCGCTGCCGCCCGTGCCGTCGCTGGCGGCCTCTGTCGGTGCGGCCGTCAGCCGCCGCTGCCGACGGCGGCGGCGCATGCGCGGGCAGGGGGCCGGGGGCCGGGGAACCGAGAGCGCGAGCAAGGGGCCTGCGGCGACATCTGAGATTCTGGTGCTTCGATGCTGAGAATACACATTGTTCTGTGGTCAGAACAATAAGCATCCATTTTCTTTACGTAACGCGAGCGTTAAAGTAGAGAACGCATTAACATTGTCTGCATTTCTTTCCACAGCAGTCACCCACTTACATGTCGGTCTCCAAGTGTCATGACGGTGTGTTAGGCCGGAGTTTAGTTTGGACTTTTATCACTACTTAAGTCACTCGTCAGGCCTCGCTGGCTGGTCGCAACCGCTGCTCTGTAGAAGCATGTAGCCGCACCCTGGACTGTGGTAACGTATCGCGGAATACCATGTCAAAGACAATGTTTACACACACGTGGACGTGCAGTCTCTTGAGGCCGTTTGAGCTCTCTCACGACCCATTTAAGAGCCCATCACGTCGGCGAAGCGATTCGGCTCAGGACTTCTTACCTTCGCTGTGATTGGGCCGTATGCCCCCAAACGACTACAAGATGGGTCGATATCTCCTTCGTTCACCAGCTGCACGTCCTGTTCGTTCATCGTCGAACCGAGCATCAGCCCTCACTGCTCCCGGCGCGTCGACAGAGGCGACTGCCAGCTCCTTGTGGGCGTCCCAGACGCACAGTGACAAAACGCGCGGCCCCGGCCTGGTGCGCAAACATCTCGCCCTTGAACTTTTAAAGGTCACTCTCGGCAGGCAGGCGACTGCGGACCATCCCGGGGCGTCGACGTTGTCAAGGTCGGGGTGTGGTGACGACCGCAGAACATCGCATTGCCTGAACGTTCTGGCTTCACCTCACTTTCATCATCCGTCCTTATTTCTCTCCTTATGGCTTACAAAACACTCCTCCGTGAGATGGCGTGGCGTGCGGTGTATCAATCCGCCACGGGCCACGTGCTGCGTTTTCCAGCGCGCGAGTAAGGTCCTTAATTTTGCGCCATGAGCGGGAAGTAATGGAGAAAAGTCCTACGCGATACGTAGGCAGTTGTCTAGTCGTGGGCTGAAAGATCCCACTCTCGACAGGAAATAGGGGCGTCGGGTGTTGGTCGATCTCTTCGCGACTCGCAGATGAGGTGGGACGCATTTTTTCACGTCGCGGGCCGCTAGTGAGAAAGCAGGAGCAAGTGTGGTACCGTTGATGGATTCGCGAATCGCAAAGCGTGAGACTCGCTGTTTAGCTGCCTTGTTGCGACTGCCAGACGGGGAAAGGTCGGGTCCGCTAAGGAAAGTGGGGTCTGCTAAGATAACCATGAGTAACTGACCCTGAGCAGCGACAGTGGATTCGGTCATGAGAGTACTGCTGTTGGAATCGTTGCAGTGTTTCCAGAAGGCGAGTTTCGCACATATGATCCCATAAGGGATTCCGGCGTGCCGATGATGATGTTGGTGACTGGGGATAAGCCGATGAGGGATTCCGGGATTATTCTGTGACGAGAGAGGGCAATGCCGCAGCGAGCCTTGCACCTGGTGGCTGCTATTTACTGGGGAGAAATTCCGAGGTATGAGTGATGTATGGCTGTAAGGTGCCCTCATATTGGAGGGGGATCTGATCGTTGCACATCCCGTCCAGCTGGTTGGTGGCTGCGGTAGATGCTCGTGTGGTGCTGTTCGCTGGACAGTTTCGCAGCGTGCAGTGGTGCCCGTTCCCTTTCTCGTGTCGGCGTCGCACAGCTGCCTGTTGTGCTGGCGGCAGCGAAACGAACATTGCGGTACATACGCCGTTTTGTATCGCAGGCGGCAGCTGCCAATAATTATTCAATAAATTATGATTTATTGGATACAAGGCACACAACGTGAGCGTCTTGTCCAGCACTTGAGACGCATATCTCTAAAGGGACGTTGGAAGCTGTACCGGGATGAGGGGGATTAGTCGCTACGGACCTTGTGATAATTATACATGTATACGTGCGGGCCCCGTCTAGTGTATGGCGCGGACCCGGTCGCACCCGACATCTCGGGTGGTTGGTTCGGAGATCTGCCGCCAGGCGGCCGTCACCCGGGCTGTCGGCAACACCGGCACTGGGGCCGAGGCCGGCCGCTAGGTGGCGGAGATAGCCGCACCGGGCAGAATGAGTGTCGTAGCCGAGTGCTGCGCATGTGCGAGGCAGTCAATGTCACACTCAAGGGCTACAAGCGTAATGCGGGACGTGATGAATGGTTTCTCTGGGCACTATGCACCGCGGTCTCTCGGGAGTAGGTGCTTGGGGACGAGCCAAAGAGGATGGGACTCTGTAGCCTTTACGGGGGATTCTTTTGTGTGTCACTCGATATCAGTACCCTGTTTATTGGTTCACATGAAATCTCCGCTCGTGCTGCTCTTTTGGTTAAAGCAGATCCATGATGTTCGGTCCAGTAATGTGTGTAATAAACAGGTACGGTGAACTTATATTTCCCTTCCCGCTGTCCTCTGCCGGGACTGCTCTGCGGTGAACACCAAACCAACTCTCTCGGGCCAGCACACCTAGATACCGCGTGACAGGCGGAGCTAGTGTGCATTCATCTGAACCACGATACATTGATGTGACCAATTCGTGTGATGTGATCATTCGCGGTAACGGCTGGCACGGTTCGCTGGCCAACGGCGCGATAACATAACATCTCAAAGCAAATGTACGCTTCGAAAAGAGCCGCTGGGTGTAAACGACATTGGGAAGAGATGAAAAT